CCCCAAAACCCCAAAACCCCAAAACCCCAAAACCCCAGGTCAAATCCCAAAATTGAAACAAATTCTGAATAACTACGACTTTGATGAACATGTTGGGAGGTATCTACAGCAGACTGGATCTCTTGGACTAGCTTCTTGGAATCCTCATTAATTCTAGCTTCTTTCTGTGCATTCTCTCTTTTGGACTTCTCTTTGAGGAAATGCTTCTGGATCCTTCTAGGAGCTATGGTGATCGTTCTTGTAATATCTCGGATTTTATAAATTCCTACCATCTTGTTAGCTAGTTCAAACATGTTCTGACGAAGGGAAATGATGAGGAATTGGGCATTTCTTGCTTTTTTCTTGATGTAGTTTGCTACAATGGCTACATTTTTGTAATCCAAGGCTGCATCAATCTCATCCATGAAGTATAAAGGAGTTGGCTTAAACTGATGTAAGGCAAAGATTAAGCTTAGTGAGCTCAAAGTTTTCTCTCCTCCTGATAGTTTTGAGATCTGCTTCCATGTTTTCTTTAAAGGCCTTACTGAAAAATTGATCCCTTCTGAGAAAGGATCAAGATGATCAACTAATTCAAGCTCGGCATCACCTCCCATTGTAATGCATTGATACATAGATTTAAGTTCTTTTGATATAATATCGAATCCCTTCATGAATTCATCATATCTTCTCTTCCTGAGCATTTCGTGGTTTGCTCTCATCTCCCTTTCCATATCTTCAACCTGATTAAGATCTTTCTCATAATTCTTGAACTTCTTAAGTTTAATGATGTACTCATCTATCGATTGGATATTTGGTCTCATCTTTTGTATCTCTTGTTCTCAGAATTTCAGAGTTTCGGCAATCTCGCGCCTAGATTCAGCAATGTGTTCACACTGAGAGGTTGACAATATTTGGCCAAATTCTCAATGATTGACATAGTAGTCCCATGACATGATACCTCTTTTGTCAGGAGCCTTTAGTTCTTCCGGCTCAGGTTCTTTTCTATCCTCTCTAGGCTGCCTGGGTGGATCCTCTTGATTCAGTAATTTTTCTGGGAGATCCCCTCTCTGAAGATCTTCAAGATAAGGATAGAAGGTATAATCAATCTTGATTCTCTTATATTCCTTGATATTTTCCTTGATTTTATCATCTTTAGTCTGCATAGCCTCTATATATCTCCGCTTTTTCTGAATTAAGTCATTGCATTTATCATTCATCTCTCTCTTCTCAGTCTCAAGCTTCTCAAGAGCTCTCTTCTTTTCGTCAAATTCATGTTTATGGTCTTCCAAGGTCCCGTTGATTTTCTCTTTTTTCTTCTTGGCTTCATTGAAATCAGCAAGAATGATGGCTGCTTTCTTATCCATAACAGTCAACTCAGCGTTAAGTTTCTCTAGGTTTTCGGCAATGGTTTTGATTTTCTGACTGTTCTCGACCAGTTCACTCTTTGCTTTGGATAAATCAGATGTGGTGTATTCAATGTTACCCTTTGTCCTGTTGATTAGAGTTTGCTTCTTCTCTTCTTTATCAGAGATGATGAGGAACTCCTCTTTGACTTTCTTGTAATTCTCCCCTCCAACTTCCATTATTTCATTCTCTTTCTCAGCAATTTTCTCTTTTATTTTGGACATTTCTGGGTAAATCTCTCTTAAAGTCTCGTCTCGAGATTTTATAGAGCTTTCTAGGGTTTCAAGTTTTGAAAGCTCTTCGGGGTTTTCAAGAAGTTCTTCGTAGTTCTTTACTGAAGCTTTTAGCTTTTCAATCTCGGCGTTGAATGTTTTGAGGTTGATCTCATCTTTAGCCTTAGCAAGCTCGAACTCTCTCTTATCAATCTTGTCTTCACAGATACTGATCTGATCGAGTCAGGATGATATTTGATACCTGAATTGTTTGTACTCCTTCTTGAGTTCATATAATTCTCTTTCAAATCTCTCTATTTGTTCATTAGTATATTCGAGGTTGAGTTTTTCAATTTCATCAGATTGCTTGAGTCTCATCATACCTTTTCTTGGCCTTCCTCCTCCTGAAAGAGTCCCTGATAATTCAATAAGTTCTCCTTCAAGGCTGACAACTCTGTACCTCTGACTGCCTTTATAGCCTAATTTAGTGGCTGTCTCTAAATTTGGGCACACAAGAGTATTTTTCAGAGCAAAATAAAATGCTTCCTTGTATTCATCTTTTGTATGTACAAGGTTGAATATCCTTTTAGAATTTTCTGGGGCTTGAAACTCTCTTTTCATCAAAGCTCTATTCTTTTCTTTGATCCTATCAAGACATAGGAAATTAGCTTTACCTATCTGATGTGCTCTAAGGTATTCCATACAAAGTGTACCGTCATCAACAGTTTCAACAACAATAGAGTCTAATAAGCTTCATCATGTTGAGATTGCGATGTCATATTTTGAGTCTATTGAGCCGAGGTTGCCTAGTCTCCCTTTAATACCTCTAAGTTTTCCTTTCCTTTGCCCCTCAAATAACTTCTCTACAAGTCTGGAGTTCGTCTTTTGACCCTCAATACAATTTTTAGCAACCTCAATGATTTCCTTTTTCTTGTTGATTTTCTCCTCAATTTTTCTGGATGTAATCGTAAGAGATTTCTCTTCTTCTTTTAGTGATGAAATCTGGTCAAGATTTCTCTTCTCTTCAGTAGTGATCTTCTCCATAGAATTTTGAATTTCAGAGACTTTCTTAGAGACTTCTTTGATTCTGATTTCCACTCTTTCTTTCTCATCAGTGTAGCCTCTTCGTCTCTTCTGGATAGTATCAAGTTCTATCTTGAAAGCAGCTTTCTCTTCATTAACTTTGTTGTATTCAATCTCTTTAGGTCTGAGTTGTTCTTCCAGTTTCATTTTCTGGTCTCTAAGGCCTTTAGTTTCAGCTTCAATTGTCTTCTCAATTTCCATTAATACTTCCTTCTTGGCATCCTTTTCTTTGGCTAATTCTTTCCATTCTTCTTCAAGAGTGGGGAGTTGGATCTTTAGTTCCTTAAGAGAGTTCTCAGCTGCCTCTTTCTTTTCCTCTAAACGCTCGATCTCAGCTTTGGTCTTAGCTTGGAGTTCAGTGTAATGACTAACATCCTGTCGTTTCTTAATATCCTCTCTTTCGTACTCTCTAAATTGGTCGTCAAGTTTGATTCACTCACGATCACATACCTTGAATTCTTCCATAATTTTCTTAATGTCTGTAACAAGGTTCTTGTAATCATCTGTTTTCTTTTTGACTTCAGCTTCTATAGACTCTAGTTCATGCTGGGTCTCATTTATCTTAATGCTTACTTTATCCTTGAGGATGCTGTACTCTCCTTTCTCAGAGCAGAGGAAGATATGCCTCAACTTGTAGTACCTCTCTTCGCTTCTGATGTAAGAAATGGCAAAGTTCTTCTCTTTTTCAACAGATTTGACCCCACTCTCGATTTGTTTGAGAGTATTCACCCTATCAACTCTTTGTTCGCTACATTCTTCTATTTTAGAAGAGAAATGTTCGATTTGGTTAACATATTTATGGCTTCCGATGATTTCTTCGAGGAATTCTAAAAATCCTGTCTCTTTGGGTGTCATTCCTTTTGGTCTCATTTGAGCAATCATCTCTACCTCTCCTTGCAAGATCAGGAATCTGTTATGCTGGAGGTCTATGCCTTTCTCCTTGAGAATTCTTGCTACATCAGATAGAAGACATTCTTCGTTGTTAAAATAGTACTTAGACTTGTTATCTCTAAACCCGATTCTACTGATAACAAACTGGGTATTTCTGATAGGCTCATACTTACTCTCATCATTAATAAAATCAATGATCTCTTGGAAATATATCGACACTGAAGCATATTGAACATGAGGCTTGCTCTCTGACCTATGGATAATACTGGAGATTTTATCAGATCTGAGCTTTTTCATTCTGTAACCGAATACGAATAGTAAGCTTTCAATCAAGTTTGATTTGCCTGATCCATTAGGGCCTACTACTGTTGAGAATCACTTGTGTAAAGGTCCTATTTCTTTTTTACCAGCATAAGATTTGAAGTTGTTCAGTTCTATTTTATAAATCATCAATCTTCTAATAGTTTCATCTTGTTTGCTAACTTCTTCAGGAGGTTCTGGAATAATCTTCTTTTCTTCTTCAACAGCAGGTGTCTGAGGAACTGTCTTCTCTTCTTCGAGAGATGGTTCTTGGGCCACTTTGCTCTCCTCTTGAGGAGCCATTTCTACATTATCTGGCTGAGCTGGAGCAGGTGCAGATAAATCCTTAGTTTCAGGGTCAGCTAAGTTTTCTTGTTCAACAACTGGATTTTGGTCCATAATTAACGGGACTAACTTTAGAGGGAATATCAGCTTAAGCTAAATATTAGAGATCTATTTGAGAAATTTCTCCTTTTCAAGCAAATTTCAGCGGAAATTTTTCAAAAATTAGAAAAATATAGATCAGTCATTAACCCTTCTCAATGTTCACTGACACGTGTATCACGGAGAGATATTCATAATTAGATAGTTGATTTATGTTAGCTAAAGAAGATTTGAAGCAGAATTAAAATTATGATAAGTTTGAGTAAAAGCTGAGCAAGCCTTAAAACTCTTGGATACAGAAAAGATCAAAGCACAAAAGAAAGAAGGTCTTAGAATGATAAATGCTGTCGGAGGCACCCAGAGCCTTATATTAAGACCTTAATTCTTGTGAGCCCTTGAAAATTTGAGAAAATTAGTTCAAAAATTTATGAGAAAAGGTATGTTTTCTTCTTTTGAATTTCAATTTTGCCTTCTTTGTATCTACATAATGGAGCTTCATTCCTCTTTTCATGATCTGAGAGTACGTTAACTTGTTTTTAGAGACCTGAGAGGATCTTTGTCTTTTTGGATTTGTACAAAAGCTCGAGTTTGCATGAATTTTCGGATGCACTACTGATCTAAATTTCACAGATAAAGACGCCTCAATATTAAATATTGATAAAACATCAACTCCATGCATGACAAAGTACGATTAAATGAAATTTCTCAAACTTGAGGTTCCTCTACCTAAACTTACTTATTAAAAGTGCTTGAGTCAACTATCTTATACTGTCTGTTCCTTGCACAGCTGTTAGTCCTGGTGTGTGCTTTCTTATTCTCCGAGAGATACCTATAAGTCAAACTTCTAATTACATGTATTTCAGGTAGCCTCCTTTATCACACCAGGAAGGATACACCATTGAGAGTTTGAAGTCTTTAGCTTTCCTCTTAATCTAAAACTAGGTGTAAAAGTTACCTGAATATTCCTCATATTATTACTAATCTTTTTGATTGCGTTCAGAGCTGAGGAATTTATGACCTAAACTTGGTGATGCTCTAAATACCCGAAACTTAGGATGCAGTATCTGCTTGGCCTCCTCTTTGGTTATAATCTATGTAAAAAAATAAGCTCCAGTTCCAGATGAGCGTTCATACCTGTCCTTCTTTCTGGCTTTGACTGGTCGTACAGGGATTCTTTCCTTTATGCCGATTGGAGACTTTATTCTTTGTATTTTCTGAGACCTATTCCTGATCATTTTTAAAATTCTATAATTTAAACTAATTTTGGGGTTTTGGGGTTTTGGGGTTTTGGGGGTTTTGGGG